AACTGTCTTAACTTGGTAAAAACTGAAGCGATTTTAATGCAAATTCACTTTTTGGTCATTAATTAATTAATTATTTCAGCATTCGAATGTTCAATACAAGGTGTTCGATATTTCTCGAAATATTTGCCTTTCACCTGCCAAAAAATTTTATGATAAACAAAAGAAGCTCTCGAATTGAATTGAATTAAACGATTCAAAATGAGTATCAAAATTGTTTTTAAAAAGAATATAAATGAGCATCGAAAGTGTTTTAAAAATGAGGTTCGAACTGTCTTAAACAGATATAATTTATGTTATTATAATTGTAAGAAACCTTCTTGTGAACATGAAATGAGTTTTCAGAATTCTCTGTAAAGCGTCTCATTGTTCAAATTTCCGCCTCGTAAGCAGCAAAGATTAACACCTGAGATCTAAGCCAACCTCATGCCAAGATCAGCTGACTGTGCCAAAAAAAGAAGAAGAAAGAACAAAAATGTTTTTCGCTGTCGGAATTTCAGAGAACGCCGCGTGACGCATGAGCCGGAGACTCGTATTCTGGTGACTTACTAACCCGTTCCAAGAGCGCTCGTTTTTTGGCCAACTCAATAAACGGACGGCGACCCACATTGCAGCCACATGCAACACACACACACGCACAGCTGTGTATTGAATAGGTGTCACTTTTTGTTGTTGTTGTTGTTCGGGTTAACTGTTATTTGCCCGTTCCGGGGCAAGGTAAATATTTATTTCACAATATATATTTTCCATGCACCCCAACGACAAAGCGACGCCAAAAGAAGCACAATAAATCAGCTGTCATTATAATATTTTATGAAGTTTTTTACCTGGCTTATCAATCAGTTTTTTTTTTTTATGTGTGTGCCAGTATGTGTGTGTGTGTGTGTGTGTGTGTGTGTGTGTGTGTGTGTGTGCAGGAAATGCAAAGAATTTCAAATTTCTTGTGACAAATGCAGCCAACAACAGCTGCAAATTTTATTTATTTTTTTACCCATTTTGGAGGCGCACAAAACAATACACCTAGACATATTTGCCATATTTTTTAACTGCCCAGCCCATTTCCTGTGACGCTTAAAAAATAAAATGAGAAAACACAAAAAATTGAATATTTATTTAACGGCCAGCGTAAAAAAGTACTGTAAGTTGATTTCAACATTTGCTGACCAGTCCAAAAGCAAAGTTTAACTTATTTTTACCATTTTCATGTGCTGCCCGTTGTGCATAATAACGAGCTAGTGTTCTAGCCCGAGGCATGCACAGCCATGGGCTACCCTGTAAAAATAGAAAATCTCAACAAAATGTCAACAAGTTGAATTAACAATCTAAAATAAATGAATCCAACTCAAAATAAATTGTTCTTGAAAAATCAAAAGGTTTCTTATTAAAGAAAACAAATAAATTATCTTTAAAATTATATTTAATTATATCACAAATTAATATTTTATTAAAAATTATAGGCTCAGCATGATTTGAACCTCAACATAATAAATAAATTTGTCTGTTCTCTACTTTTGTTATAACGAATCCCAAAGTATTTCAAGCTCAACTTACTTTCTATGCTAGCCTGTGACAAAGGCACTGTAAAACTAGCATACCCCAAACGATTGTTGAACAGGGTACGCAAAGCTGGGCTTCTGCGGGGCATTATAAAGAGCGAAAGCAAAGCGCAAAGCGCAAACGAAAGAACAACACAAGAGACTTTGTAAGTAATATGTATGCTGAAAGCACAATAAACACATGCCAATGGCTGAAGAACAAGCAGGAGGGGAAGTGCGGGAAGGGGGGGCAAATGCGAATACGCTGAAGTCGGCGCAAATGTGTAAGACGAGTCCGGTCCCAACCTGAGCAATCACGCCGAACCGTATATCGAGTGGGGCAACAACTGAGCAAAAAAGATACTTATGCACAGCAGCAGATACAGTTTTGCCGAGCACACAGATGCACTTGCAGATACAGATACATTTGCGGATACAGACACAGATACATTGCACACTAAGTGCACTCAGTGAGAAATCAAATGCAGAGGCAAGCCGCTAAATTGATTATGGCTGCAAGTATTTTCTCTTCTATGCTGCTTGCGGCGGGGCGTGGCAAACGGAGGAGGCGCCCCCAATTGTATGGCACTTGCACTTCCGCAAATTGCAGTTAATTAAGCAACAGCAACAAACGCAGCGTCTACAACTGCAACTGCAACAGCCGACAGTTTTGTTGTTAGGCCACATAATTCAGCCAGCTAGGGGCAAACTAATTTCTAAGCGCGTCTACGGGTCAGAGTTCAGCTAATTGCCGACTGACAGTTTAAAGTCACAGAACCTTTAAATTAACGCGACCGCCTTCAAGTGTGTCTGAGTGTGCGTGAGAGTGTGTGCCTAGATAAGAGAAAGAAAAAAACTAAAAGAAATGTCAAAATTGTATAAAATTAATGAGAGAAATGTACGACTGTCAGATACTAGAAACAATTTCAAAAGAAATAATGAATAGCTGTCACATATAATTATATACACACGCAGAGATTGATAAGGGGGAGTTCGTCTAGATAGCTAGATAAAAGACTTTGAAAACTATTTGGAAAGTTTTCGAAATACAAAATGGGAGAACAAAAATGAATGTTTATCAAACTGTAGATAGATAAACTAGACCAGTTTTCTGGCGACTATTAAGAGTAAGTTGAACTTGAAAGCAAAAAAAAAAAAAAGATATGGTAGGCTGAGATTTTATATCCTTTTGCTGATGTGTAAAAATAGTATAGCTCGTAAATGCTGAGTTCGATAATACAAATATCTTGGAAAACAGACAATTTTTTGCAGACAAAAACTCATTTCTTGAGCGATTCATTCTATATTGAAGATTATATTGCGATATTGATAAGATTTAACTAAGTTAATTCCGGGTTTGTTTCAAGATATCTTTATACACCAAAAAGTTTTTTATACAAGAACCTATTTTTCGATCGCTCGTTCTATGGCAGATATATGATATAGTGGTTCAACCCGTCTCATTCCGGACAGACGGACAAATCTATATATTTTTCAACTCAGCTGTTGATGTTAATGTGGAATATATATATACTTTATGGGGTCGGAGATGTCTCCTTCGTTACAAATTTCATGACAAAATTATAATACCCTCTGCAAGGGTATAAATATGTTTTTTACGATCAGTTAGGCAAACGAAGATCTAGTCTCGAATGTCAGGCTAGACTATGGACTCAGTATCATCTTAGTCAAAAGCGGCTTGGAATATTGAAGAAAATTTTAAGGAAAAACCTGCATGGATAAATCTGCGCAAATTTAAGCCAAAAATGTATGTTGCACGATCATTTTTTTTCTTCTACATTTGAGATACCTTTTTAAAAAGCAAGAACATATTCTAAGCTTATTACATTTTTCATTCCAGAATTTTTGCTAACAAAAATAGAGCTAACGATATTTTTTTTCTCAGTGTACACACTTTAATTTTGCCGCCACTTTCGTCTGGCACTTTCCATTTTAAAAGGCCGCAGCAAACAATTCACAATTTTTAGTCTATGGAACTTGCCCCAAAGCCAACCAATTACCAACTACTCCGGGACTAATGATAAATGACAGCGAGGCATAAACACAGACAGAGAACAGCAGCAACAACAACAGCTGCTGCTTACATATAATCTGACAATCAACAAAATTCTCTCTGCACACACACACATAATTAAAAGTACTTTTATTTTATGTGTGTGCCACGCTTTCGCTTATCAACAGGCAAAGATCTTAGTGCCCCATCAAATCGATCAAAAGCTGACATCCGCTGCAGTTACAAGTCCCGCACACCCCCCTCCCCCGCTCTTTCCCACCTCTTTCAAGACCCACTCCAGCGTATCTGGAGCTGCATCAGCTGCATTTCCGTGAAATGCGACGAGCATGTGCATCTTCAATGGAATGCCTTTGTTTAAGCTGCTGCTGCTGCTCCCCCCTGCCCTACCCCTGCCTCTGCCCCGCTGCTCTCCCCGCCCCCGCCTACCTGCCTTTAGCTACTCGAATCTGAAGACGTGACTCATCGGGTTTTTATTACTTTCTGGTCTCTTACGAGATTATAATATGCTCTTGCGGTGCTTCATTAGATTCCGATTGGGTTTGGGTAATTTGATAGGGTCAGTGATTGGGGGCATGTATTTAATATCAGTTGTCGTTTAATAAATAAGTATATATATATTTATTATACCCTGTAACAAGTCATACCGGGTATATTGACTATCTAAAAGGATGTTGAGTAAAAACTCGCTTAACTCTAGACGTGTTTTTCTGACTTTATATAAGTGATAGTTCTTCCCATTTTCCGATAATCGAAAAAGTCGATTAAAACCTCATATTCTGAACTATCGATATATTAACCCTTATCTCTAAAGTCGATAACAACGTAATGCGTCAAATTATCGATATTTTTCACATTCTCATGCTACAAAAAAACATAACTATTGTTTTTCCTTTTTATTTAAGGTCAACCGAATCGATAAGAGCCGCATACTCAAATTATCTATATTTATGTCATTTTCTTTCAAATCGATAACAACCGAATGATATATTCGATATATTTTATATTTCCCAGAAGTCGATAACCACCTCATGTTGCAAACTATCGATATTTCATCTAATTTAAATGAAATCGATAAGTATCGTTCAATTGATTTTAAGCTCAAGTGTCGTGTGATTTGTGGTATAACTGCGTTTTGCTAGAGACCTGAAAATTGTAAAAAAAATTGCACTAAAATCTTTTAATTTATTTGTAAATTCTAAGGCAAAGAGAGTTGCAGAAAGAAGTTCAAGATCTAAGTTCCTAAACTTT